ATCCCACAGATTTTTCCATTTGTGGTGTGATTTATTTCAGACAAAATGCTAAATGCTACCCAAATCACAAATTTCATAAAAAGTGCTCATTGTTAGGGCTGCACAATTAATCGAATTTCTAATCGCGATTACAATTATGGATGCCAAAATTACGTAATCGTTGAAAGCGGCAATTAATCGTTCAAAGTCCACTTATGTTATTCTGCACGCTTAAGATGTTTTTTTTCTTTCTACATGTTATCTTAAGGGTTTTTCCATTGTTTTAATTTTAGTTTTAGTATAACATTATAATACCATTCATATTTTTACTTTTTTTATAATTTAAAGAAGAAGCATTTGAGGCTTAATACTATTGAAAAGCACTAAAAGTTTTTCAGTTAGAGTGTTTTCAGCTTATTTTCATATAAAAATACGGCATGCAGTTGAATCAACCAATGGAATAAACATCATTCAATGTAAATTGTGATAATCATAATTAATAATCGCAATTACAATTTCAAGGGAATAATCGACAATTATGATTTTTGTCATAATCGTGCAGCCCTAGCTTACGGTCCATTAAAAATGCAATTTATAACATACAGTCAAGCCAGTAAACATGACAATAAATAAAAGGTAAATGTCATTATACATTCTACATCCCATTCAAAAGGTTGGTGTCAGTAGGATTTTATTTAAAAGAAATTAATACTTTTATTCAGCAAGGATGCATTAAATTGACCAAAAGTGACAATAAAGATTATTATAATAATAAAAGATTATAACCATTTAAAATCATTCAATTAATTTAATAATTTCTATTTAAAATAAATGCTGTTATTTTGAACTTTTTAATCAAAAATCCAGAAAAAAATGTATCATTGATTTTCAACTGTTTTCAACACTGATAATAATAAGAAATGTTTATTGAGCATCAAATCAGCATATTAGAATGATTTCTGAAGGATCATGTGACACTGAAGACTGGAGTAAAATTCAGCTTTGCGTCACAGCAATAAATGACATTTTAAAATATATAAATATGTATTTTAGAGAATATTTTATTGAATATTAAATTATTTATTAATATTTAATATTTCACAATATTACAGGTTTTACTGTATTTTTGCTCAAATAAATGTATCTTTGGTTAGCATGAGGCAATTCTTTAAAAACATTTAAAATCCTACCATAAACTTGTGAAGAGCAGTATACTACCAATACTAACAGAAGCGTACTACAATCATATCATAGCTTTAGAAGACACTGAACCACTACAATATGCTTTAAATTAAAGTATGTGGGACAAATAAGCATTGCCATTTGCCGAGACAATGCAGAGGGTCACTTTAGGACAAATCCTGTGTTTGCTTCACATGAGTCTGTCTCCAGGACATTAAGCAAAAACACACAAATACTAGAGCACTGAGTGCAATTTTCAACTGGAATGATCCATATTCAAACAGTCTCTGCCTGAAATTTCATCCAGATGAGGGTGATTCAACCAGTGACATCAGATATCAGCGCCCTGCTGCCTGTAACAGGCCTACCGTTCAGAAGAGCCCTTACAAACACAGTCACAGAGAGCGCAAACAAACACACACGTAACACTTTCCTCTCTCTAACAATGGCCAATACCATCCGATCTATTTCACAGGGGCCGACCGAGAAGAAAAAACAGTCGTGAGAGAAGCCCCATTTAGCTGAGCTCATTGAAACATTACACTACACATCACAGCCGATATCAAACGACAGCTCCACTCGCCTCAGCCAATCAGCTTACCTCTCTGGGCCCCTGTGCCTCCCTGATTGGCTGGCAGCCCCAGTCTTGTTGTCACGGTCGTGGCCCTCCTCTGTGGAGGATTGTGGGAGTGGAGGGCCGTATCCGGGCGTGACCCTGAATGGCTTCAGATCCCCCTGGCCCAACAGGCTTCGACCAGCACAGTAACAGAAGGCACAGAGCTGTTCGCTGTGAGGAGACCAGAGGAAGGCGGTTAGCCAATGAAACAAGATGGCATATATTACAGTTCTCTAATGGTTTAAAAGAAGGTTTCGGGTAAATCCAGAATGTTCCTTTAACCCTCAGAGATCTACTGATCCAAAATTGCAACACTTGCAATACAATAAAGAGTATAACATATAAACAATATATGCGTCAAAAACGTCTCCAGCACGTTTTCTAATTACCCAAAAATCAAACATAGTTCACCGCTCATATCACGTCCATCAAAAACTTAGACTGGCTGTCGATTGGAATATTAGAACTAAAAACATTAACATAACACACTCATGGGCATCAATCACTTCACTGAAAACTTGATGCCTAAAAAATAAATAATTATTACCTTATGATTCATCTGTTCTTAAATCCACGTCACTTTAATATTACAATATCAATGTCTATCAAAAAAATAACGTGCACAATACACTGTAGTGTTTAAAACGTTGTTTAATTTTCCAGTAAAGGATGATACATTTTGACATTATTTGTTTCATTTAATAACCTCTTTGCAGATTTTGAGCTATATAACAGCAGCTCACACTTGTATGATAGAAACAAGTGTGGCAGGAAAATATTTACTCAGCTAGTGTTGCTAATTCAGACAAGCTTTACTGAACATTCCTTTGGAATAAACCGAACATTTTCAGTAAAATGTGTTCATAGAGTTGTAAAATTGAATGGATATTATTTTTAGCTGGGATGGAATTGTGAGATTGCAAACCATTTTTAGGAAATGATTAAACTTCACTCTAACTTGATTAAAAACTCAATATAGGAAACAATCCAAACGCTTCCCGCTGTTTACTGAAACTTGGAGAAAATGCCTCCTTACTGATGTTCTGCATGTTCATTTTGGAATAAGGCCTGACACATTGTTTAATCACACTATGCATTTCTTTCAAATTTATTTCAAAATTTGAAAAATGAAAATAAAAACAGTTCCTTTCTGGGTATCTTGTATCACTATTATAAGAGACCACCAACAACATTTTATCATATTATGGTTGATTTCCATAAAATTGCAATTATAAACATCCAAATGCACAGATGCTCCAAAGACTTACATTAGAAAAGAGCACAAGCTTGTGAGGGAAAATACGGGATGGAAACTGTTGGTCAGAAATATTTTTGGGTGGGGCTTATTAACTCTTCCCTGCTAGCGTTTTTTTTTTTTAAAGACGTGGCGCGACGCGACGCTGCGCTTCTCGTCCGGTGCACGACCGCCTGAAACGCTGTTTTTTTTCACCTCCGTGAAAGAGGATGTCAGGAAACAGTGGTTGCAATTTATTTTTTAACTCCGTTCCTGAGCATTATAACCCCAATTTGCTATTGTGTGCTGTGCATTTTACTGCGGACAGCTTCCACAACACGAGGGAGTACAGTGCCGGATTCGCACAAAAGTTTTTGTTGAAAGACGGAGCAAGGGGCGTGGCAGTAATGAAACACCACCTAAGCTGTTCGCCAATCACAACGCACTGGGACAGCTAACCAATCACAACACATTTTGTTTTTCGGAAGGCGGACCTTCATCAAAGCCGGAACTAATCGAGCCGTTTGTGCCAGGCTGGGGAGAAAGGTATTTTAATAATGTAAACTATGTGAAAAATAATGCGTTTTTCGAACCACCAAGCATGAGAGCATGTTCTAGTACAAAATCAAGACTTTGTAAAAGAGCATAATAGGACCCCTTTAATCAAAAAAAAAAAAAAACTTTTTTTTATCAACACTTGAATATGGGTACGTTTCATGAAAAAAGCAACATTTTGAACAAAAAGCTGAGAGAAAATCACGTTTTTGTAAAAGACTATGTCTTGATCAGATTCAGAAAGATAAAGATGGAATAGATCAACACATCCAAAGCTTGCACGGTCCTAAAACCACTTCCTGGATCGTCATTTCATTTGGTAACGCCAGGCAGTTTTGATTTATATAATGATTGATGTTTGATGATCGCGTTATTATACATATGCATCTGCTTACATACGCGATCACTTGTTTCTGCTTCTTCTTTGCCGTATTTTGATCCAGAGATTCAGTACTCTTTCAGAAGATGCTAAATAGCGCCTCCTACCGTACACCAGTGAAAACACAGAAAACCGGAAAATTCCGTCAATGACGGGGAAAGAGTTAAAAGGACAATCTGAATCCCAGCATGCCAAAGTCACACAACATGATCAATGCTTACTGACACCACTGATTGGTATGGACCAAATTTAGAAAATAAAAGAAAATATAGGAATTGAGTGATGATTCTCAATGTTTAATGAAAACTATTTAATTAAACAATTAAAAAAAATTTTTTACAATTACTACAGTGGGTCTTAATGATAAATTTTTTTTTTCCACAGACAACCATTTTTAATGTTATTCACACAAACAGAGCCCATTCAATAAATTATTCATAAATTGTTATAAATGTATACAAAAACACAAATTCAGTCATCAATTACTCACCATTCATGTCATTCCAAACTCATAAGAACACACTTGGCAAACAGAGCAATGAAATGTTATTTCCTCATTACCTTCTCCTGGAAAGTTACCAGGACAACGCCGCGCGGCGTCCATCATCCCATTAGATGTTCTTACAAAATAAATGTTGCAAATATATATGCATTTTATAATTATGTTTTCTGTGTATTATGCAGCATTTTACGCATGCACCCCTCACTAACGGACTTCTGGAAGGGCCCTTCATGAAGGGATTCACTTTAATTTGGAACGCTCGACAAATGACGCCTCCTGCAAAGGCGCAAAAACACTATTTGGAATTCTCTAACTGCTACACTCAAAGGAGAAGCACGTAAGTTGCGAAACCAAAGTTTAGACTACTAATAAGTATGTGGGAGTGTTAGAATTCACACATGCTGTGTCTTTTATTTTCACGCTCCCTGAAAATGGGAAAATTGTCAACAATTAAACTAGCACTCCTCACTGGAGTAAGATTGACAGCTTCATGCTAACATATTTAAATACAGCTACACAGCATTTAGACACAACTGATTCAAAGGTGAACGGCAATATTATGAGTAACTCCTACTTCACAACTTTCAAATATAGCCATCAGATCTTCATGACAGACAAAAACTCCCTCAATTTAAAAACAACCATTTTTGGACAAACATTATTTCGTGTTGCAATGTGGCTACGTCAAATCTTTTGGTGATGAATGTGTAAAAAGTATCACTTAATGTATTTACAAAAACTCTTTGACCATTGCAACGAATCCTCGAAATCAGTGAGGCTGTTGTGTGGTGTTGTCATCATAGCTTAAGGAGGAAAACAGTAAATATTGATCCGATATAAAACTGTTCCCCACAACGACAGCCCTCACGGGCAGTACAGTCCGTCCTAAAGAGCCCTTAACAGCCTTTCATGGACTGGAGCCTGGGAGAGCTGTGGCCGTGGTGAGTTGACTGTTTGGATAGGGGTTTGTGTGTTTATGTGTGTTTGTGCATGTGTGGCAGGGGAACCTTAAATTTGTAGTGTAACGTCAACATTGAGGCACATTCAGCTGAGAGCACAAACAAACAGACATGGTGCATGTACATATCTACAAACCCAGAGACAAACCCAAGAAAAAGATTTCTAACTAGCAATAGTGGCTGTGTACTGCTATATAATGTGCAGTTTATACTGTATACTGCATGATATTTTTATTTATTTATTTAATTTTAATAAAAGAAAATGTGACGTTTTGCGACTAATGCTAAAATGTAAGCTATGAATATTTTCTATTATTTTTCTCATTATTTATGCCAACAGTTTGTACATATTTTCAGATTTAAAAAAATCTAGATAATTTCAAGATGATAACTGTACGCCACTCACTGCTGTACGATTATATACTTTTGTATATATATTTGTATTCTGTATACATATACACCCACACACTTTGGCATAAATGTCTAAATAAATTGGAAATCAAATATACATATCTATATAAAAATATATTTCTTATGTCTTTATATAATTACAATTAATTTAATCTGTAAATATATATATATATATATATATATATATATATATATATAGCATAAATGTATAGTAAATTTGTAATTGCACCTGTGCTATAACAATAAAAAGCTTGACACATGCAATGTGTGGTCATGTGAAGCTGTTTATTAGTTATTAGTAATTTTACATATCGTTGAGATACTAGTGTAGTTTTTATTAATATTTTGAATTATTTATTTATTTTGATTTTGATTTTAGTTAAGGTTTTTGTGATGTTTTTTTAATTTTTATTAGTTTTTTTGAAATGTCTAAATCTTTTTTATTCATATTTATTTCAGTTTTCGATAAAATAATCTTATCTAAAATAAGTTTAAATTAATAAAATAAGTCTAAGGTTTTTTATATTTTATGTCATGTCATTTCAGTTTATTTTAAGTCAAGTTTATTTTATTTCAAGGAGCGAAAATGTATAAAAAAAAATTAATAAAAAATAAAAATAAAAATTTTTTATTTTTAGTTAACTATAATAACCCTGATGCAAACACAATGTAGCATACTTCTGTTTGAAATATTTACTGTACACAATGCCTACGGTTTCATTTAATATGCAAAAAAAGTGGTCAACATACCACTATTTGTATATGTACTGAATAGAGTGTATACTACTAATAGCAATAAGTTACTATTCTATTCTGAACAATGAACAACACAGAAGAAACATGCGATTTTTAACATTTTCACCCATAGCCAATAATGTCAAAAATCATCATTATTTCTGTGTCATATGTCACATAAATTGAGCACATTGCATTGTGAGATACAGTACTCAGCACAGTGTCTATACTGCACATTTGGGGAATGTAAACAAAAAATTTGCATGCTGCACACAGGATGCAACCTGCAGTTGCACATTACTGCTCTTTGTGTGCATGGAAATACAGTGAACTCTCTGAGCTGAAGGGCTGTGCCACACCAGCGCTTCTTCCTGGGTTCCTGCACTGCAGTCGTCTTTACCCAGAATGCTCTTTTAGTAAGCTGAACAAGTGCCCATCCCCCACGTTAAGAGAGAACGGTAGCCAACAGCAACACATGCACATGCAGCAAGACATACTTCAGCACACGTGTGCTAACGGGCATTCATCATTTGACCTTCCATTTTGAGATTTTGGTAGAAAGGCTCAATTCAGTCAAAAAAGCTTAAAACACGAAGCCATTCACAAATGTTCACACTGACACACACGCACACGTCCGCATGCGCACACTTCCCACGCCGGCGGTGACTCAGCCTGGCGAGAGGATGCTGCTCTGACCTGCTTTTAGCTTCTCCAGAGGCTGATGATGTTTGTGCCGCCCCCGTCTCAGGGCTCGCAGGAAGAGGGGATGACGACTGCTCCTCTTCCTCCCCCTCTGCTGAAACTGCCACGGCAGAGGCGTCCGCCGTCTCCTCCTGCTCCCCTTTAGTGACTGACGAGAGACACAGAAGGAGACATACATCCTTGTTAATTACAGCTGCACCAACAGACATTTTAGACAAAACTGATGAGATTAAACCTTAAATTCATTAGTGTTTCACCACAACTGTATTCACCTACTTAATAAAGATGAATTTATACACTACAGTGATAGTGTAAAATGAGTGTAATTTAAAAATATTTTAGAATTTTTTGAATGTGGCCCATTATATCTACATTGAGGGAAAAAAAAAAATGCTGTTAAAAACAAACAATTTCTTTTGCACATCAGTGAGTTCTAAAACACAAACAGCATCAAAGAACGTGGATCGTTAATTGCTTTCAGATACTCTGAGTTGGAGCAAGTTTAAAGTCTTTTAGATCATTCAGTAGCCAGATGTTCTCAGACAGAAAACCATTTCAAAATAAAAATAAAAGATCAATTTATTGATAAAAAAAAAATGCAAGCAAAAAAGTACTAATCTAAAACACACATTTATGGTCCACCACTTTACATTAGATGTCTTTAACTATGTACTTTATATGTATGTATTTTATAGGTACAGTGTACTTATTGTGTTCATGTTGAATTGCAAAACACTTTTGCTGCTATTAAGGTGGGATACGGGTAAGGTTAGGGTCAGTTCACCCAAAAATTTTTAATTAAATTGTCATTTATTCACCCTTGTGTCATTCTAATGCTGTATGGCTCTCTTTCTTTTTCAGACCACAAATGGAGATTTTTTGAAAATGTCCCATGCGTGCTCGTCCATATAATGGCAGTGTATGGTGATCAGCATCAAGCTTTTAAATAAAACGCAAAAGTATCACAGAGTGGTCCCATGAGACACGTGCCATATATTCCAAGTGTTCTGCAGGTGTACGATAGGGTTTGGTGAAAAACAATTATTATTTAATGAATATCCTGACGTTGGCTGTTGGTCTCTGTGCACGACTGCACGTTCATGAGACACGAGTTCACTCCGACTCACCCAGGAAAAGCACACAAGTTGTGAAAAATCAAGATTAATAAAAACACAACATGAAATACAATCCATGTACTTTCTTCTGAGGAAAAAAATATCTGTTGTGCTTGTCGCAACAACAAGTTATCTGTCAACTGTGAGTTCTGGTCCTGAGATATTCAACTGAGAAATGACACAGAAACTTTTTTGGGGGATTTCTAGGCATTGTTTTGTGTCGCTTTTTTATTCATCTTGATTTTTCACAACTTGTGTGCTTTTCCTGGGTGGGTCAGAGTGAACTGCTGTGCTAATAGAGTCTCATGAATGGGCAGTCGTGCACAGAGACCAACGGCCAAATTTAAATAAAGTGTTACATTTTGGTCTGTTTTTCACCAAACCAGCAGAACACTTGGAATATACGGCACATGTCGCATGGGACCACTCTGTGATACTTTTGCATTTTTTTTTTTTTTTAAGTCCCCCTTTAGTCAAAAATTTTATCACTTAAAACTCATTTTGAACATCAAAATTACATATTTAAATGTTTTTTCGTTAAAAAAAAAAATTTTAGGCCTTAAAATAGCTTGAATGTAACCCTTCTGTCTACATGTCTACACCCTTGCCCCATTTATTATACGCGGATCTATGAATATGCAAATTAGCCCCGCCTCCACTCAGTCACACCAGCCAGGGCCTCCTGATCCACGGATAATGACTGATAAAACTGTTTTTACTAGCAGACAACTACAGTGGATACCGCAACAGTCATTAAAGTTACTTACTTGACGATGTTGTGTCCTCAAAATGCCTTGAAGACTCCAACGCAGCCAAGTTTATGATTCTTAAATGGCGCCCGCGAGCATACGCGAGTGACGTGCAGACGCCGATGCGGGAGAGGTGGGTCTGACTCCGGGCTACTTTTACACAGTTGCCGCGGGTTATTATTGAAGTTAGCGGTTCTAAATTCACGTTAAACCACGGCTTCATGGGTTTTTGCTTAATTAAATTTTTGGTTTTGTGCTGGTAATTGGTATATTTAGCATGCGAACTCTATGCTATGATCTCTATGCGCGCCGTGTTTGTATAAATGGAGAGAGGGATATGCTAATGACAGGAATCTATCCCTTGACGTGATTGGTTATTGAATTTTGTGACGTAGCAAACCGAGGGCTGTTTCAAACCGCGTTTCTGGGACTGCCATTGGGAAACTACAGTTTTAAGGAGTTTTAAGGAAAGGCAGAAATCTTCAAAATTGTAGCTTCTTTAGCTCAAATTACACCAAATAAACTGTATTTTTCAGGCTGGTCCAACTAATGCATATTTTCATTGTGGAGTAAACAAACAGATGATGCATTTATCAAAAAGACGACTTGTTCTTTGAACCAAAAGGTGAGATTTGCATGTCAGTGTAAGTGTTGAAACCCCTCAAAATGAAAGTCACAGCCTCGGCTAATGAGACAGACAAGCCTGAATGTCGTCTGACTGCGTACCTTTGCCTGAAATGAATATTCATCCATGAAATGTTTGTTTATTCTGAACAGTGCTAATTGTTTCCAGTGAACCAGCCTTTCAGTTTCAGGCCAGTATGTTTCGTTTTTAAAGATCCCAAATGATGACATGTGAACAACAGCTGGATTTGTACAATGTCAACAGCAGCCTGCAAAACAAAAGTGAAGAAAGAGCCAGGATCTTTGGTTTCCCTGTTCGATCGCAAACATGTATCCCATTTGATTTAGGTGGAATATGCATATGCAGAGCACATGTGCCGTGTGTTAATAAGAGAGAAATTGGGAAAACCGTTGCTTCAGAATGTACACAATGTGGACAATTAGAGGTGTGAGTCATCTGTGACTAAGAGCGCCTAGTGAGTCGAGATCTAGTTGTGGTCTAAAATAGACCGCATTGAAACCACAGCTGCAGTCAACCACCTCCTGTATTCACCTCATCCGCTGCAGTCTACTCGGAAAGAGCTTCAATGGAACTACAACAGACACTACAAACTAGGGTCAGTCTGCAAAGAAAACTAGTTACTGGTGCTTGTCGATGAAAGCATTAGTATTAGCAATGCTTATGTGTATGGTGAGGGATTTGAGTCAAAGCAGACGCTTTGTATTAAACTTCAACAAGTAGGCCTAATCCCATAACGTTTGTACCAAAGACGTGAATTGATTTCTCAAATTGTGCAGGTTGTTGGGAGAGATGTGCCATTACTTTTCTAAGCAATCAATTATTTCCACTTCGTGGATGATAAAATGGGTGAAAAATCCCTATAGACCCCATAGTGGAAAGAGACTGTAAAATATCATAGAGACATGAAGGTGGACTCTTCAACACCCTATAAACTGAATAGTGACACACTAAACACAGTAAGAATACCTTAACGTGACAAACAATATGCTACCAACACCTATAAACTGAACCGCAAAATGTTAAAACACCCTAGAAACAGTACGAATGTGCTAACTCTAAGAACACATTAGCAACTAAACAGCAACATGCTAAAAAACACTAAGAATTCCTTAGCATCTGAAAAAAACATGCTACAAACAGTCAGAACAGCCTAGAAACTGGTAAGAACGTGCTAAACACACTCAGAACAGTCTATAAACTGAATAACGACATGCTAAATCCCTCAGAACACCTTAGAAACTAAACAGCAATGTGCTAATAAACACCATGCTAATTAATACTATGTTGTCTAAATAGCTGAATAGCAATATGCTAAACACACTCAGAAAACCTTACAAACGGAATAGCACCATGCGAAAACACTTAGAATACTCTAAGGAAACTAAACTGCAGTGTGCTAAAAACATTACAGTATCATCTAAATAACAATATGCAACAAACACTCAGAACATTCTAGAGATGCAAGAACATGCTAAAAACACTCAGAACACCCTACTTGCTGAATAGCAACATGGAAAAAAAAAAAAAAAAACACCCACAAAGAATACTTTAGCATCTAAATAGCAATTTGCTACAAACACTCAGAACACCCTAGAGACGGCAAGAACATACAAACTCTCAGAACACGCTACAAAATGAATAGCAACATGCTAAAACACTCAATTTACTATCGTGTGAGGCCACGAGAGAGGATTTGTGAAGTTAAACTGGTAGGTCACGTGACAATGACAAAATGGTGGATATGAATTTCATCCATACTATCTATAGTATTACTGTATATATACTTTGCAAAGGAAGTTTCAAAAGTTGTGAAGTTTCAAAACAAATATAGTACCTACTAGACACTTCGATTTCAGATGCAAATTAAGAATACCTTAGCGTCTGAATAGCAATATGCTACAAACACTGCAATGAGCTAAATGTTAGCATCTAAACAGCAATTTGTAAAACACTCTACAAACACCCTAAGAAAAAAACACCCTAGAAACAAGCTAAAACACTCAGAAAACCTTGAGCAACTGAAAAGCAATGCCCTGGCAACCATTTGCAACACTCCAGCATTGAGGCAATGGGTTTTGCACTGGCAAACATCACTCACATTTTCTTTAGAAAAAGTAAAAATGTAGTTAGAACAGCACTTGGGAAAAAGAATGAAAAGGCTGACAGCTTCCTCCAAGAAGCAGCTTTTGTTTTGTTTTTTAATCTTGAGTAGTTCTGGGTACTTAAGGGTCTTTTATAATTATGGCAAAGAGTGAAAAATTTAAGGGGGTCTGAATACTTTCCATACCCACTGTACTTCAGTGGTGACCTTGACACAGAGGTTATTTCAGGAGGCTAAGCAGTTACTGACAGCACCTTTAATGATGCCAGCTCGTATTATTGACTGCGGGGGTGTTCCAGCCTTCAAGGTCAGGGCTCCAGACTGCGAACAAATGGTTGCACTTTGCGACCATTTTTTCTGCCGGTGCGACTAATTTTTGTGAGCGGTCGCACTGGCACGACCACCGCGTTGTCCAACTCATTAGCGCTGCCATTTCTGTTGCATTTGAGAAACATCAAACGGCAAACTAAACAAAAGCGAAACTAAACCGCGCTACGTTTCAGCTGCGCAGCGCGTACCGTTTATCAGCTCGGACCA